ATTTGTTTGTTCGGCAAAGAGAACCGAAGCCGTGATTTAAATAATTGCGGCTTCATTTAAATTTAAATGGCTGCCATGCTGAGAGGACAAACAGCTGATCAGCTGTTTGTCCGCTCAGCGCGCTAGTCTGGACGCTCCCTTGCCGACATCAAAGCCCTTTGTTGGCAGCCCCGGTAAACCTCATCCCACGAGGAATAACAGGGCTGCCGATAAAGGCCTTTGATGTCGGCGCGGGAGCATCCAGACTAGCACGCTGAGCCAACAAACAGCTGATCAGCTGTTTGTCGGCACAGCGTGGCAGCCATGTAAATTTAAATGAAGCCGTGATCATTTAAATAGCGGCTTCATTTGCCTTTGCCAAAACAACAAATCTACATGGCTCCATCGATGGAGCCACGTAGTTTAGACGTACCCTTAGATAGTAAGCTCTTTGAGGCAGGGACTTTCATTTAGTTGAGTCCTCTGGACAGTATCATTATATAAATATTAAAGAATAATATGGCCAATAATAATTACATTTTTTGTGATTAACTTAAATTTAGGCAAAAAAAAATCCTTTCCCCAATGACAAGCATCCATAGTGATTATTTTACATCTCTCTATGATAGGAAAAGCTATATTTTTCTGCTAATGAAAGCCTATTTTTTCATTATTCCTTAGACACTTTATTTGAAGCTGGTTGAAGAACCATTCTGTTGTTATTATTTAGACAGTTAATTTTTCAAATAAGTGTTTAATCAAAGCCTTTTGGTCCTGTACTGTAGAGTATGACTAGATGAGTCAATTAAACTAAGTTCTCTCTCACACTAGCACAATATAATTTTACAATGAATTCTTTTGGAAATCTATTGAATATTTCAATATTTAAATTCAGAAGTCCCATGATCCCATTTACTTAAACATTTTAAGATTTTTGAGGTTGATACATATTTGTGAATTTGAAAAGTGGGCCAACAGTTGTGTTGTTAACTGAAAAATAAATAGACTGCCACTATAAAATGTAAATGGCTCTTTACATTTATTGTGTCCTTTTGTCAGATTTGAATTCTCTCTGAGCTTAGGTAGTGCGCATTTTTAATAATATAAATACAATAAAGCAAATTATGCTTAGAAAGATATCTCCACTAAACTCAGTTCCATATTAAACATTAACTGGACATTCAGTTCATTAGAATAGTACTGATGTTGCTTAAAATGCATTCTACAGTCTTCAGAGTTTTTGTTTTGGGACTATAAAGAAGGTATATGATGTCTATGTTTTAAAAGCTGCTGTTCACAACACCAATAGAGCACATTTTTTTAAAATGTACAACGTGCACAATATTTAAACAAATTTGGTCTTCGTTTTTCATGTATATTCTCGTGAAGATGTTAATTATAAAGAATAATATTCAAAATAACTTTTAAACTAATGTACATAACTTGTCATATAGTAGTAACACATCTAGGTCTGTCCTTAGGGGAGTGCATGCATGGGGCAAATCAGCCTGAGAACTAGAACAGCCACATACAAAGTGCTAGTTAATTCTTTTTAGCTATGTATTTAGTTATATAATTTCTGATTAGACTAGTTAAGAAGTACTTTTCTCATTAACAAGGCCAAATTCCTGTAAAAAAAATATAAAATACATTGTGATATAAATGGATCATTAATCTCCTTCACTGAAACTTGACCTTTGGGAATTCTCTATATCTTTCTCTTAGAAACAATATACTAGAAAAAGTGTTAGCGTCTCTTTTGGTTTTAAAAGAAAAGAAAAGGAAAAAAAGAAAGAGAGCCCCCAATTCATCATAGGGTAATTAATTCAATATTATTGCAAAAAGCTTTGCTGACCACCAGGAGAGAACAAACAGTGCATGTGGCTGCTAACCCAAGCAGTTGTCTAAAAATGTTTGCTGTGTTCACAGAGTGACGGAGATTATTATTATTATTTTTTTTTTACTATTTTCTGCTTTCTATTTGTCTGAAAATAGTTCAAGAATAGCCTTTTTCCGCAGACTTTTGGCAATTCAACTTCCAGTTCTGGATAGGACCATGAAATCAATAAGAAGAAGAGAGAAGAAAAACAATAAGAACAAATCAAGAAAAAATAATTAACCTAACTTCTGCCCTCAAATGTCTATCAGTTCATTTTTTGAATCAAAATTGTCATTGATGTTTCAATCCATTTTTATGAGCTGCTTTGCCAATCCTTAACAAATTGCTTACCATGAACACACCTGCTCTCTACTGTTCCAGAGAAGAACACTATATTCAGAATAAAGTCAGGAATA